GTTCCCATTACTGAAACTAGCTTTTGAATTCAAATTCCTCCAGCTGCAGTCCTGGGATTTGAACCTGTGTCCACAATGTCTTAGCCTGGACCTTTGGATCAGTAGTCGAATGACGAATAACTTTTTTCTCTCCCCAGCATATCTGTTTTATGATGGTTTAAACTAAATACTGAAAGTATGTTGACAGGAACTGCATCGTTAAATTTCAAAACTCAGTAAACATCAACAAAATTTACTCTGGTAAACTGGGAGATAGCAAGAACTGCAGATGCTGGAGTCCGAGATAACACAGTGTGGAGCTGGAGGAACACAGCAGGCCGGGCAGCATCAAAGCAGCAGGAAAGTTGACGTTTCGGTTTGGGACCCTTCTCCAGAAAACTGGGTTGGGTCATTTTCATTGCATGTGTCGCTTCAATCAGGCTGGACGCTCTATTGAAGCTAGTTCCAATAATATTGGCTGTCGTTGCTACCTAAAGATATTGAAATTACTGATTAAATGTGACAAAACATAACTGATTTTATTTAGCCCTGTTCCCTTTCAATGTCAGCTATTTCAAAACTTGAAACACTTTCATGACAGCTGGGTTTGTACTGTGAAGGAAGCAGAAGATTTTTTTCTATTGCCCTTTCTGCATTTAACTATATAAACTTTTAATTCTGTTTTATTTTATATTTGTATTCAACATTGTTGAATGAGATGTAGTATTAAAAAGAGAGACATTTAAAATAAACTGTAATCTGCTGCAGAAAGTGCAAAAACTCCTTTTATCTGCTTCATCCTATGAAATGATACCTCATGTCCCTTTGGCCAATGTTCATAAAGGAACGACATCAGGAGTCAAAACGTTTATTTCTTTTCCAAGTTGCTCAGATTTTCTAGGGGGCTACTTTTTGATTTTCAGGCACCATGCTTTGGTTTTCACGGACTTCTTTAGATCTAAAGATTTCAATTCAAAACCAAACTGTTCTTGAAGCCCAAAATTTTTAAACCTCCATTAAAGGATATTAAAGAAACAAGAGACTCAGTGCTGGGCAGGAAGCCAAGAATTCAACAACAGTTTCTACAGTTTTCCTGTATTCATCATCCCAGCGCCGTCCTCCAGCAGTTAATATTAAAGCAAACTTAAAGTCTGGAAGGTCGGGTTGATCTAGATGAACAGGACTCCCAATTTTTTCCACACTTTAAGACATTTTAAAAAAACACATGTTGCAAACTAAAGAAAGCTTGTGTACTGACAGATACGTCTGTACATTTAAAGAAAAATCTAAGGGAAATGGGGACAAGAAACTGATGACCCCCACAATAGCTTTTTCTCCCCCTCCCCTAGACTTTCATCTCCTCAAACCAATTTATTGGATTTCTCCCTTTTTTATGCTTGTTCAATGAGAATTTTCACGTTTATTTCTTTTCTGTTTGATGATTATTCCAGTAGTAGATTCTTGCACTTGAAAACCAGGTTCAGGAATAGAGTTTTAGAAAGAAAAACAAATATCTTTTTTTCAAAGTAAGAGTTGGGAAATCATAGATATATTTTAAAAAAAAGCTAGAAATATGATAATGAGCAATGTTGCCTATTCCCTGTACCCTCTTTCTTTCACCTTAAGGGGCTTCCTCTCCCTCATCTCCAACTTGTTCTCTGGCTCACATTTGTTCTGTTTGTGTGTAGTTTCTGTGTGTGTTTTACTCTAATCTCTTGTAACTGAAACTGCATACGTTTAGCTTACCCCTGTCAGAACATTTGACTTTGTTGCACTACACACATGGGCCTCCATGTGCTGGTTGTATACTTCTGAGTTACGTGTTTATTCTTTAGGTGTGCTGAGTTTGATTTCTTCAGGATTTCATTTCACTGAGCCGTTCAACTGACATAAGTATTGTACTAACATAAGTTCCTTCAGTGCAGCACAATGTTCACCCCAGTGACAGAATTTCTTGTGGTATCTTACAGCTTTGCACTTTCAACTATGTATGTGTGTGGAGACAGAAGTTAAAACCTTTTGCAATTGAATCTCTTACAGTCAGACTCATAGATGTTTACAGCATGACAGAGTTTGTGGATGTAGCTTTCCAAAGGCCTATGTTAATGTTTTTGGCTTGTCCTGCCTGCCAATAACTAAAGTCTCTCTCTCACTCGCACTCTCTCATATT